GCGACAAAGCCCTAGTTTTTTGTGCTTCTTCCCCAAAACCCCCCCCCCCCCCCCCCCCAAAAAAAAAAAAAAAAAAGCTGGTGGGATCTTGCTTGACCTTAATTTAATTTGATGCATCTCCTTACCGTATCTCGAAATCAACAGTTGACGACTTTGAATGCAATTACATGCAACTTTTGTCACCTATTTGCACATTTTTGGGGAGAGTGAGAATTTACCGTGCACGTGGACATTTTTTTTTTTTTGACATATCTAGCAAACATGTTATTCTCTCTCCTTCTGTGTTATTTTGAGGGGAGACTGCGGAGCGCCGGTTCTTCCTCTCCTTCTCCTCCCTCTTTCTCTTTTCCCCATCTCGTCTCCTCTCTCACACCCTACACTAAATCAGGCTCCATGTAATAGCAGACAACTTGGACAGAAATAACCGGCAACATTTTTGCCATTTTTCGGGTGGGGGGGGGACGAATTTTTAGGAAAGTGCACTGCTCCAAGTGTGGTCTTGTGACTCTTCGTTACACCCTCTGAAAATTTATGAACAAACCGATTTGCAGCCGAAAGCATGAGTGTGTGGTTGAAAGTCCTCTCATTCACTTGATTGTCACCAAAATCTTAGTTTTTTTTTTTTTTGTTGTTGTTTTTTTTTTTTTTTTTGGGGGGGACAATCTCATTGTTTGCCTTTTCTGAAGGAGAATCAGATGTTGGCTTTAAGCATGGTTTGAAAATGATGTCTGTCACCAATTCATCTCTATGTTTAGACAAGACATTTAGCGCAACTTATGGTTAGAGGCCTGCTATATAACATGCTTTATTCTTTAGATGGAGGGAAAGTTGTAATTTTGAGGGCAGTATAGTTTTCTTTATCATCCTTTCAGTTTCCAAATGGATACTATTCCACATGCCCTTGGGCTAAAATAATAATAATAAAAAAAAAAATGTCAATGACTTCAGTGTTTGTTCTGTTGAGTTTCCTTCACAAGTCGTTATACGAGGCTTTTAAACTGTGATGACATGGGAAGATCGATTGTTGGACTTACCTGCTTCATGTCAAACATCCCCTGGGCTCTGTCGCATCACTTCACACGAAGCCAAGCTTTTAGGGATGATGGAAAAATGTCAGCTCTTCTGCATGCAGGCATCTGGTTGAAGAATGTAAATCTAGTCTTTTGTGATCCTCTATGACGTTCCGTCTGACAAGTGAACATGCTGCCGACAAAAGTGCGAGACAAGAGACGTGTCGCCGAGCATCAAAGTGCGGATTGACAGACTGTGCCGGGTGATGGATGTGCATTGTCGAATTGAGAAAGCAGGTCTGCTT